TCTACAGATTCGTCTCAGCACGACCTACGTAGCCATACCACTCGTTGTCCCAAAATCCTTCGGGATAAGAAAATGACCAATTTACCCTTACCCTAAGGGTAGATTCGTAATTTCACTTAAATAAATTAAATATGGGATTAAATTTGGAGTCGGGGTGTTACAACTATAGGTATTTTTGGTAGTTAAATAGGGTGTACTTAGTTAATTTTACATATTAATTTAAATATTAGGATGTACTCTCAATTAATTTTAAGGTTCATTTAACAACATTTTTTTTAATCTTACTTTTCTATTATTGATCCTTTTATTATTGTAATTTGTAACCAATTGGATTTTGCAGTCAGTTTTTAATTGCAAAAGGGATGAAAATGATTACATTTACTCACGGAGATAGACAGAAGAACTAAATTGGCTAATGGTTGGCTACAATGACCGAATTGGCGAATAAGGTAAAACACAGGGACTGTTTTGGTATTCAATTCAAAATAATAATACTACTCCCAAATTTTTTTTTTAGTACAAACGATAGTCTAAACTACTCGAGAGGAAGGGAGTATATTGTAAAAGGCATTAGTGATTACTCTACAGGACGCAAAGTGATGAGGACGAATTTGTTTTGGAGGTGTCAATGGCCCACAGTTTTCTTTTTGGGTTAAATATATTCTTCTTCCCCTGTCATCCATCACACATAAAATGCTTTTTTTAAATCGAATCAAACATAAATGTAATGTTATACACATATTATTTACATAAAATGATACTTCTTAAGCTAGGTTAAAAGAGAATTTTTTTCCCCCAATAGTTTAAAGAGATTGATCAACTAGACCCAGCATCAAAAGTACTAAACTGGAACCTTCAAAGAAAAATTCATCCCCAAAAAAAGTTACTAAAATACAACTAGAGAAAATTTTCTAGGTATTCATTTCCATCAGAATGAAGATTACAAAAGATCACAAGAGAAGTGAATTTAAGCCATATTTTTCATCTCATGGAGATAGAGCCAGCAGAAGAATGTGGATAACTGCAATTGCCATTCATTCTTTTGCTAAAAAAAGGGAAGCAATACCTATAAGAGTCACCAAATAATGATAAGCAAAATATTTTTGCCATATATTGTATGAAGCTGTTCAATTTGAAATAGCAACTAATCAATAATCCGCCAGGTTTAGATGTGATCTGCCACCTAGGACTGTTAGGAGGTGGTTGGAAAATTCTGTATATCCCCTGTCATATGCATATCTATGATCACCTTGAGATGATGAATGTACAAATAGCCGGCGGTTTTCCGTTTTGGGTTATGTTCAGAGGCATTCCTCAACCACACTTTTTCAAACAGATGTGGATTCACTGTGTCCTTCAGCTAGTGTCCTGCCATCTGTCATCACAAAATTGGACAGCCAATCAGCTCATCACTTATCTTCAAGAACACATGAGTTTAAACGAGGAACCAGCTTAAAATACATTAGGTTAGAATCTACAAAAAGTGGAGATACAAATTTGGGGAAGGAAAAACCTACAAAAAGCAAAGACGTACAAATTCACTATAGTAGCATATGCATCAATGCTGATGAGCCCGTAGCAAAGCCAATTAAGTAATAGAATAATCATTACATTCCTACCTTGGTTTCGGTATGAGCTGACAGTCGTATTTTCTGTGGCAGATAAATTTTCCTTCATAACTTCAAAGTCAAAATTTGGTGCATCAGTTGTCCTGTGACTCCCGTCTTCTCCCACAACTTCAGTGTTAAAGTTTGAAGCATCATTTGTCTGATTATCACCCAGATTCAATGGAGTCACTGACTGATCAGGTTTTCCACTAACCTGCATAAGAGTCCAGAGTTTAAATGCAAACTATATAGATATATGTACAATACAAGGGAAAGAAAGATATGACCTTATGCAGGTGAGAAGCATCAGAATATGCTTGATTCTTAGAACTGGACGCTGCAGTAGCTTATGTCTGCTCATGTATAGGATTAGATTATTTGTTGTCGATGGACCCTACCTGACCTCGGGCCCACAATAACCGTCCCTTGGTTTTCCAGGAAAAACTAATAAAGAGGGAATTAATTAAAGCATTTGGGTTCATTAAATTTCACTCATTTTCCAATTTTCGCAGAGTCCTGAATTTTGAAAATGAGGTAAGAATAAACTTCCAAAAATTGAATAGATTGTGTTTCCCTCTTATCGGCCGGGACGACCGATGGAAGGAACTTTTGGTCCTTCTTCTTTGTTGAGTGCGGGGTGTGTCATTACCAAGCCCCGAATTTGGGCTTGAATGGAATGTGAGTAGATGAATGTGTTTGCGTCCGAGATCTGACTTTAATCAAAGGATTGTTCGGCCGAGCAAGGAACCTCCTCACGGCCTAGGTTCTTTCACTACCTCTGGGTCAAGGCTTTATGTGAGCGACCAAATGATGTGGAGTGGGTGGAGATGAAGATTGAAGGTGAAACGTAATGAAGCGAAGAATAAGTGCGTAAAGTAAAGGTGCTTAAACTTAAATTTAATTTAAAAACAAATGTGTAAAGTAAAGTGCGAAAGATAAATAACACAAAGACGAGAATTAAAGTGCGATAAAATGAATCAAAGCGATAAAT